CTAATTGGTTTGTAAAGGTCAAAATGAAAATCCTCATCAACGGGTGCAGATGTGGGAGAGAGAGAGGCAGCTGGGCGAGCACACTGGGACAGCCCTTCTGCAGAGTAAGTGAGAGAATGTATCAAAAGCCTGGGAAATGCGGTACCCTATAATCAACCCACCGATTCTACTTCTCTAGGAGCTTTTCTTAAGGACATTAGAAAGTATGAATAAGGCATGTGTAAAAGTGTTAATGAAAGCACTCTTAAAATAGTGAAAAATTCTCAACCATCAAAATGTTAAACCAGAGAAATGGACAAATGAACCATACACAGGCACAAGACAGTAATATGTAGCCACTAGGGGAGGTTAATGGAGAAGGAAAGACATTCACAATGGTGTAAGAGGGAGGGGTCCAAATCAGAACACAGAATGTACAGGATGATCTCATTGTGGAAAAAGGAACCCGTGTGTAACACATATATACTTACCCCTGGAAGGAGAGATCTCATTATGTGGTGGTTTTTTGTTGTTTGTTTGTTGGTTTTGTTTTTGTACTGGAGATCGAACTCAGGACCTTGTGCTTGCTAGGCAGGCACTGTGCTGCTGAGCTAAATTCCCGGCCCTACGCAGTAAGATTTATAAATGATATATTTCTTTTATCTCACTGATATTTTAAAAGTTTTATCTGACATACACAATATTAAGTTTTTATTTTTAAAACAGCAGTAGAATATGAACATATTAATGCTAATCTTCAAATTAACAACACTAAGGACAAGAAAGGGGGGTTGGGACTTAGCTCAGTGATATAAGTGCCTGCCTGGCAAGTGTAAGGTGCTGAGTTTGATCCTGGTACGAAAAACAAAACAAAATACATGAAAGGGGAATTTTTTTATGATGTAGTTATTCTTTTACACTATGAACTCTTAATCCAATGATGTGAATCCAATTTCAGGTCTTTTTTAGAAGGCAATACACAGACCTTAAGTTTAAATCCTACCTCTATTTCCTAGCTGTGTGACATAAGTAAAACTTTAATTTCTCTATATGTGTTTTTTATCTAAAAATTAGGTTATGAATACTTGCCTTTGGAATTATGAATGAAATAGCTAACAATTATAATAATTACATTAAATGTATCATCAGTGATATTGTTCAATCTCTCAAGGTGCCAAAAGACATGGCCCTTAAAACTGCACATAGATTATGTCATCTTTATTACTGCCCGGTGATAAGCACTACTTATGATCTGTATCTTATACAGGAGGAAATGAGATGAAACGTTTAAGCAGCTCATCCAGTAAAAACCTAACTACTAGATTACTCCAAAACTTGCATGCAACACTGTCTGCCTTCAAGTTTTAAGGTTTCAAACACTATGATATGCAGCCTCTACTCCTAAACAGCCACTTTGGTTCTGTTAGTATAACAAGAACTTTTGCTGTTATTATTATTGCTGGATGATGATTTTCTATTATTCTCAATTCAGAATAGTTCACTGGTAAAACAACAAAAATTTAATTCTCATTTTGGCTAATAAACATGCCAATCTTACTTCATATTTAAACCTGTGCAAGACTGTCCTCCTTACCTATAAACTTCTAGCAGCCACTCCGTCTCCTCCATAGCTAAAACACTATACAAAATGAGTGTGTCCCTTCCTCAAATTTTCCAAGTAATCCAGGACACTAAAGATCCAATCATAGCCAGATGGTGCATGCTTGTAGTCCCAGCACTTGGAAGGCTGAAGTGGGAGGATTACTGTGAGTTCGAGACTAGCCTGGGTTACAATGTGAGCTCAAGTCCAGCCTGAACTCCACAGCGAGACTCTGTCTCAAAGGAAGACCAAAAAAAAAAAAGACAAATAAATACATAAATAAAGATCCAGTCATGGTAAAAGATAAGCAATTTGACTAACTTAGAGACAGAATATCATATAAAAATAAGCAACAAAATACTTGTTTTTGAGCTCTAATTTAAACATTGATTTCCTAAAACATCATCACCATTATGAATTTAGAAAAAAATGAACAAGTACTAAATCTTTCTTTTAAAATACAACGTAGTCTTAAAATACATATATGCATACTTGAAATTTTCAGCTTTGTATTTAAGCTGTATATTGATCTAAAAGACAAATATAGATACACGGATATATCATAGTTTTTTTTTTCCTTGTTTGTTTGGTTGGTACTGGGGATCTAACCCAGGACCCTGAACATGCAAAGCAAACATTGTATAGCTGACCTATAGCCTCAGCTCTAAAACTTAGGTTATCTTTTAAATATTGAGTCAGCAATTCCAAGTAAATTACATTTTAGAGTGTACTATAAAAACAAAGCTCTTTTCGGTTCTCCAACAATGCATCAATCAGATGCACCTAACACTGCAAACGGTTCTTCAAACTCGCTTCCAAATGGCCTTCCTTGGTTCTCTTCTCATGTGGCGACAGTTTTTTCTTGCTGCTCTATTTTCTTTTTTATACCTGAAACTCTTCGTTATACTAAGAGACTGAAAGGAAAATAATTACATACAGGACACAATAATTTATAGTATTATTTATAATGGCTACCCAAGGAGACAATTACAAAGAAAGTACAGGCAATCTGTCCACACATTAAACACCTAGCAAATCCAGCCAAGGGCCTGGATTCCATTTCAATAACCTGCATGAGCCCAGTTGAAAACCTTGAGCCTTTGACAACGTCCTCCATGAGTCCAACTGGAGGCCTAGAGTCCACGATAGTGACTCATGCAAGTCTGTTTCATGGATCTGCACTGAGAAGGTCCAAAGGTTAGCAGTGAAGCCAGAAAGTCTATGCCAGCAGGGTAAAGATCCGTGCCAGTAGCCTGAGGGTTCACTGAAGCCAAGAAGCGATGCTCAAAACAGGGACCAGGGCTCCCTTGAAAAGTACCACAGTCATCCTCAGAGACAATGAGGTCCCAAGCGCCTCCAATGATAATATGAGGTCCCGAGCACCTCCAGTGATAATAGCTGAGTTCATATCAGAAAGCCAGGGAGACAAACTTCTTCTGGAGATTGAACAGCAGACATCTTCCCCTCTGGAGCCAGAAAAGGATGCTCAAAGTAAGGACCAGAGCTCCCACAAAGTGAACTGCAGCCCTTCTCAGCGACAAAGTCCCAAGCTCCTCTGATGATAATGGCCTCGTTCTTAGGGAAGCCAGCATGACAAGCTCTTCCAGGAGAACCAATGGCTCCAAACAACAACACTTAGAATCCAAAGTGCTACTCTCGTCCTCTCCACTTCTCTTTTTTATGCTGGCAACAGTCCTCAGGTAGACGGTCTGCACTCACACCACACTGATTTAGTTCAGCTGGTGGTTAAGTTGACCATCAGTTTTCAATCCACCACATTCTTCAATGGTGTCTCTTTGTACTCAAAATCTTCACTCCTCTCCCTGATTACCAGATAAGAACTGATTCCTGCTTCATCTTATACCTCTCTCCTTTGCAGCAGTTTCTAGACATATGGATCTTACTGCTGTTTCTTGAACACATCTTGAACTTTTGCAACTAGTTCTTCTTTTGTCTCGTGCACTCTCCTTTATTGATCATCACTAGCTCTTTATCACACTAGCTATCAGCTTAAGTGTTACCTTCTTGGAAAAGTCTCGCCTGGAAATTCTACAGGTAATCACCACTGCAGGTCCTGTTTTTATTCTCTACATACACAACACTTAGCACTGTTTCGGATTTTCTTATGTGGTGACTCTTAGACACCAAGGGCTGAAAGCAGAAGGCTGCCTGTTTTAAAAAATCACATCACAATTCAAACAACATGACGATTGATAATTTTGTGTACCCATCATCAAAAGCACTTCAAATGTTCTTCACTACTTTCAGGGAAAAGGTGACAGAATATACTGGTAAGAAAAACTAAAAAGTAAAGTGCAGAACACTGTACACTGAATGATATAGCCCAGGTAAGAAATGAACAGGAAGGATAAAATACTGTTGTTTTTATCTACATAAGCAAAAGCTGACAAGACTCAAGAGACACATACACTGGAGCATTTTTAGGGAACTGGATGGAATGAAATGGAGGGGGAGTTGGACAAGAGAAACAGTGCTGTTTGGATTTTTGATTTATGTGAAACTTCTGCCCATTTAAGACGAATACTTTACTAATTAACTTGTCCATTTCACTCTAGCTTGTGAAATCTAAAAGAGGAATCCAACTGCCACTTTTAACCTGCTACACCCAAACTGTCAGAAGTAACATAAGCAGGCGTGCCCCTCTTTGCCAGCTCCATGGAGGCCACAACCCAGCTCAGTGTTACATCTTGCTACTCTGCTGGCTTTCTCCTTTTCTGGACCACAAGCTCACCTTTTTTTGCTCTTCTTAAACTTCTTACTCCTAGATAACTTTGCTCCCGATTCATCACCCTGAATCACTCTTCAGTCAGAAGCCAGACTGGGAGTTTCCTACACACATCTTTAGATCCATGATCTATCTGAATTCCTACAGAAATGCTTCCCTAACATCAGATAAGCATCTTATCTAATAAGGCCATCTCTCCACACACAATACACATGGTCAATCCATTGTCAACGAAGGAGCCAAGGCAATTCATTAAGAATGAACTGCCGTTCAAGAAATGGTATAGATCATTTGACATTCACATGCAAACAAAATAAAACCATCAGTTGATTCTGATACTATATACAAAAAATTAAAATAAATCATAAACCTAAGTATAAAACCTAAAACTGTGCGCCTTTTAGAAGAAAACAAAACAAAACAAAATATCTTTGGGACCTTGGGTAAGGCAAAAAAGCTTAGAATAGAAAAAAGTACAAATTGTAAAAGAAAAAAAAAGATAATACTGGATTTCCTGCTCCCTGAAAATATCTGCTAACAAAATGGGAAGACAAACCACCAGCTGAGAAAAAATATTTGCAAAGCACGGGGCTGAGGCTGTAGTTCAGTAGTAGAGCATTTGCCTAGCATGTTTGACCCCAGCATTCCAAAAGCCTGCGGAAACAGGATAGAATAATGCTCACTTCGGCAGCACATACACTAAAACTGGAACAAAATGGAGAAAATTAGCATGTCCCCTGCGTAAGGATTACATGCTAATATCTGCAAAACATATTATGACAAAGGACTGATGACCAAAACATACAGAATCTAATGGCTCAATAATAAGCCATGTGAGTTAGACATTCTATTCCTGTGCATTTATTTATTCAAGAGAAATGAAGCACAAATATCAAACTATACATAAATGCTGCTAATAGCTCCACCTTTAATTGTTAAAGACATTTAAGGTGGATCTATCAACTGGTTAACTGGCAAGTAAATTGTGGTATATTCAAAATAAGGAATACAATTCAATAATAACATATCATGACTACTGATACAAAGTAGATGTTCCCTAATAGGGTAATGGCAAGCAAGTTGTGTATTATATACATAATAAAATATTACTCTGCAATAAAGACTAGGATTACCTGATGCAACATGAATGAATCTCAAAATAATTACGCTAATTATGAAAAAAAGCTGAACCAGTAAATGGTACATACTATTATTACATTATATAAAATTTTAAAAATGTAAGCTAACATATGGTGACATAAAACAGGTCAGTGATAGCCTAGGGACAAACCTGGAAAAGCCTGAGAAGGCCAGGTGTAGTGGAGCACACCTGTAATCCCAGCAGTTGGGAGCTGAGGCAAGATGAGTTTGAGGCCAGCCTGGGCTACATAGTGAGTTGAAGACCAGCTTGGACTAAGTAGTAAGACTGTCTCAAAGGGGAAAAAAAGCACTAAAAAGAGGAGGAGGAAGAGGAAGAGGAGGAGGAAGAGGAAGAAAAAAGAGAAAGAAAAGAAAATCCTGGGAAAGAGAAGAAAGCTCAAGCACAACAGATCTCTCTGGATAACAGATATTTATTTTGACAATGAGAATAGTTCCAGAAGTATATACATGTCAAAACTTAGTAAACTGTGTATCTTAAACAGTTAAAGTTTACTATAGAGATTTCAGTTGCTGCTCAACCAAACAAATGACATACTTGGGACATTTAAATTGAGTCAAATTACTTCCTACTTAAAAAATACAAATACTCATCAGACAAAAAAACCTACCAATACAGATATTTGTATCCACTTATACACACACACACACATACACACACACACACATACACACACATCCCAGAAATCAAACTCAGGACCTTGTGCTTACCAGTCAGGCACTTATGCAACTGAGCTAATATCCCCAGCCCTCCCAAAATAAATATAAGAGAATACATAATGTCTATAAACAATCATTAACAATGTCAAAATCATAATCAGAAAATCCAACCATACATCAAAGGAAAGGCAATCAATTCAGACCAATACTAAGGAGATAACAAAAACTATTATTAATTCAAAATATAAAAGAAAATATGTTCATTGGCAACCTCAGGAGGAAAAGAAAATTATAAAAATAAATCAAAAGGAAAAATCAAATTATAAAAATCAATAATTCTATACCCGAAAATAGTAAAATACTGTATCTGAAATGAAACATTAATAGCATGCACTGTAGGAAAGCTTGAAGGCAGATCAATATAAATGATTACATCACAAGAACAGAAAAAAATAAAAAAAGAAATATGAATGACCTATAGAACATAGCAAAACACTTAATATATTAATTGGAGGTCTCAGAAAGGGATGATGAGATGAAAATATTTTTTAAAATAGTCGAAAAATTTCCAATTTGGCAAAAGACATAAATAAACATTATTTTAAAAGCTCACTAATCCCCAAACATAATAAAAATTAAGAAACCACATTTACATGCATCCCAGTCAAGTTGCAGAAAAGCAAATACAAAGGCTTGAAAACAGAAAAGGGAAAAAAAATTAGATTCTAATACAGTAATACAAATGACATATGACTTCTTATCAGAAGTAATGTCAGAACACAAAAAATTACAATTTAAAAATGAAAAAAGAGATAAAACTGTGTTCTGATAGTGAAAAGTCATCTGTAAAGTGCTGAAAGACAAAAAAATCCATCAATACAGACATTTATATCCATAAAAACAGTAATTTTTAAAATCAAGGCTTATTTGAGAAATGGTGGGTTTTAGACCTAAGCCAAGAAATGTGTTAGATGAGCCTTAACCATCTCCACATACATAGTCAGAAACTTACCAGGTATTAGTAAAATCAAGACAAAAGCACAGAAAAACAAATATAGAAAAGTTCATGCTAGTTCAAGACTGGGCAGAAATCAAGCGTTTATCCTTCATTTTTTGGTATATAAACCACACCACTGAGTAACCAAATAATACATGAGTGGAGGTGTCTTTTTATAAAATAATTCTAAAGCATAAATCACAAGTGGCCAGGTACGGGGGAGCATCCTTATAATCCCAGCTACTCAGGCTCTCACACAGGATCATTAGTTCAAGGCCAGCCAAAGGAAATTAGCAAGGCCTCGTATCAAAATAAAATAGGCTGGGATACAGTTTAAGCAGTCAAGTGCTTCCCTAACATGTGAGAGATTCTGAGTTCAATACCCATACCATCAACAAACAAACAAATATACATACAAACAAACAAACAACAGAAAAGTATGAGTAACTTTTGGAAGGAGGAAGAGGCTGTGATTGGGATGGGGTAAAATTACCTAATTGGTAATTTCAATTTTTATTTCAAAGCTCTAAATTTGTTGGTGCTGATACTGCCCAAACTTTCTCAGCTCAAAAGAGCCTTTGGTGTCTTGGCAATTTTGAGGTCCACTAGGGCCATGAGTAGTGTTGAACAGCTCTGTCTGTTAAGTAGTTATGTTCAAACAACTTACTAGCTTGGTAATGACAATTTAATAGTTGTTTAAACAAAATCATATACATACATTTTTAAAAACTTAATTTTTCACTCTTGAATACACAATTACTATTTGGATTTGTGTGCCTTTTGGTACTGAATAACTTCTCTAACCTTGTGTACAGATTGAATACAGTCACCCTCATTTCCTGTTCTGCAGCAGTTTTTAAACAGTTTTTTTGAGGGGTGCGGGGGAGTTAGGGATTGAAGTTACAACCTTGCTCTTGCCAGGCAGGCACTTATGCCTCTGAGCTAAAACCCCACCCCCTTTAAAGTTTTTATCATAGCACTACTAAAATTTAGTTTTGCAAAGATACAACATCATCAAAAGAAATTTAGCATGATTCAATACTAAAACTATAAGCTACCTTGTGCTAAGTGTCTGACAAATATAAAGTTTGTGTTTTTTCCCCTGAAAATTTAAAACTTCCCCTCCAGCCCCTCTAAATGCAGTGGCAATACAGAGTCTCAACACAGTTTGTGCATGGCATGACTAGCCCACGGTGTATTTGGCTTTTATGTTATCAGTAAGTTACATGAATACACATTTTAAAGGTAATAAATTTATTTTTAAAAAGTACTACATAAATAAAATAGGCTGGGACACAGTTAACAAATATATCTCCATTGTACCATTTTTTAAAACAAAATTTCCTTTTTTTTGTCTTTTTCATTTTTATCGGTACCAGGGATCAAACTCACGACTGCCTGCTTGTAAAGCAGGCGCTTATGCCGCTGAGCTAAATCCCCAGCCCCTAAAAACGAAATTTTCAAACAACACAAGTTAAATACTTAATAATTCATATTTAAAATAAAATTTCAAACAGCAAATTTCACCTTACGTAGTGTAACTGTCATTGGTAGTCATATTTAATATGAGATGGTCTGGGAGATACAAAGCAAAAATGCTACTAAAACAGTGTGCTTGATAATCATTATGGAATATGGAAGAGCTATTTGTTCAACAAACATTAAATGAGTACCTACTAGGCACTGTGTTGTAAGTGCTAGGAATAAAATGGACAAAATGTATTTTCTTAGATTATATTCTAACAGAGAAAGAAAACAAACTGAATGAAATAAAGTAAAGCCCAAGCAAGCACCTCCCTTCCCTGGTAAGCGATGGCAGTGTGGCAGACTGCGGCCCTTCCAGGGGGAGAACCAGCAGCAGCTCCTGAGATCTGCGCCATGTTGGAACTTAGGACACTGGAAGCCAAGCAAGCACCTCCCCTCCCTGGTAAGCTGTGGCGGTGTGGCAGACTGCGGCCCTTCCAGGGGGAAGGGCCAGCAGCAGCTTCTGAGATCCGCGCCATGTTGGAACTTAGGACGCTGGGAAACCAAGCAAGTACCTCCCCTCCCTGGTAAGCTGTGGTGGTGTGGCAGACTGCAGCCCTTCCAGGGGGAAGGGCCAGCAGCAGCTCCTGAGATCTGCGCCATGTTGGAACTTAGGACGCTGGGAAGCCAAGCAAACACCTCCCCTCCCTGGTAAGCTGTGGCGGTGTGGCGGTGTGGCAGACTGCAGCCCTTCCAGGAGGAAGGGCCAGCAGCAGCTCCTGAGATCTGCGCCATGTTGGAACTTAGCACGCTGGGAAGCCAAGCAAACACCTCCCCTCCCTGGTAAGCAGAGGCAGTGTGGCAGACTGCAGCCCTTCCAGGGGGAGAACCAGCAGCAGCTCCTGAGATCCACGCCATGTTGGAACTTAGGACGCTGTGAAACCAAACAACCAGCCTGCCTCCCTGCTAAGCAATAGTGAACCTACTGATGCACGGCCTAAAGTCAAACATCCCACTTCCACTACCCCCCTTCCCCTGTCCTCTCATTAGAAAATAGAAATCTGAGTGTCTCCTGGGAGGTTGACCATAGCAAATAAGGGGACTTCCTTCTACCATCTCTTTGAAGGCAGATATTTTTATTACTATTTTGCTCTATTCTGATTAATGGTACTGCTCTATTCAATATTCTGTTTTGATAAGTTCTATAATGTTCTGTATTTCATCTCATTTTGATATACGTGATTGAAAGAACAACTATTATAAAGATAACGAAATATACTGTGATACCTATTACTGTTATCCCGGTAACCTGCTGTGAAGTTCTGTACCAATTTCACTATACAATCTTAGTTGGCTTTATTCTGTTGTATTCTACCACTTTCAAAATAAAATTTAAAAAAATAAAGTAAAGCCATTACATACCATTGAGGGTAGGTTGTAGCACAAATGGCAAATTAATTCCTACATCCTTGCCTTGTTCTCAAATAAGTAAAGTCTAAA